CAAGGTGTTGCTTGTGGTTATGGGAGGGAGGACATTGGTCATACTAATGGGATGTGGCTAGAAGGACTCAGCACACAGAGGCTTCCCCATCTGACTTGAATGGATGGTGTGGTGTGGCTACCAACCAGCTCTATTTCTTTACACCTCCTGGACACTAGTTCCAGATGCATTGCCATCTCCACCCCCAGGAATTGCCATAGCAACTCTAGCCATGCGATTCACTGTTTGCAATATGGAAGAACAGGCTCAAGGTGGACACTCACCCAGAGGGACTCCCCAGTGTTCCCACCAATATGGGCTTCTTACCAGAGTGGCCAACATGGTTGGACGGAGGAGCAGGGCTGAGCAAAGATGAAGGTTTGTGGCCCCTTAGACTCCTCCTTGCTTTAGGGTATAACCTGTCTTTAGAGAAGTTTGCCCTGCAGGGGCATACCATTTCCCCAGTAGATATGACTCAGGCCCAAAATTGCAGTGGGACTTCCCTCCTGCAGGGATCACTTCCACAACAAGCAGTCCTGAGACCATAGCCTCATCAAAAGAGGTTTCTTTTGGCAACCCTCAGCTCTGAGAGGGGATGTGTGGCCAGCCCTCTGGCCCACTGAGACTGATTCCCACAACTCTTGGCAATGTTTGTGACTTTATAATCTAGCCTCACTTCTGAGCTCACCTGCTTTATCCTTGCTCTCCAGATGCTTCCCATTCAATCCTGCCATCAGATTTTGTCTAGTCTGTTCCCTGCACTGGAATTGTGCCCCACCCCCCTCCTGTATACCTAGGTCCCATTTGTGCTCTGAAGCTCAGGTTTCCCTGACCTCACAGAAAAGCTTTTCCTGATTACCCTAATCCTTTCCCCTTCTCTCCCACTGAGAACAAGTCCTGCCTGTCACAGGCTCTATAACCACTCATGAATCTTGTCATGATTTGCTTATTTGTTTGACAGATATTTACTGTGACCCCACTCTGTCTGTGCTCTGTGCTGGGTACAGAATATAGTCACATTCTTTCCCTGGATCTGATGTTCTAAGAGGGGGAAGATAACACCAATAAGTCAAGTGTGTCAGATGGCAATGCCACTGGTGGAAAGTAAAGCAGAGAGAGGGAAGGCAGGTTGGCATTTTAAGTAGGATGGCCAGGGAAAGCCACACCGAGAAGGAGCTAGATGAACAAAGTCCTGATGGGAATGATGCTTGAGCCAAGTGGACACAGGGACAATAGCCAATACAAAATCCTAAGATAGGAGTGTGCCTGACACATTCTTATTCAAGGAACAGCAAGAAGGCCAATGTGGCCAGAGCAGAGGCAGCTAGGGGAGAAAGGTGGGAGCAGAGACAGAGAGGTATCCGCTAGATAGCTGGAGCAGAGGAGGTATGTGATGTGACTGAGGTCATAGCAAAAAGTCAAATGCATTAAGTGGCAGCTCAATATCAAGCTTTGATATAAATTAATGGCTCATGGAATCCTTCCTCCCCCATTGGGCAGATATGTTATGATTATTTTATAGTAAAGGACGTGGAGGCTCAGAGATATAGTGTGAGTCCTGCTAGATCACCTAGCTTAGAGATGGCAGGGCCTGGGCTTATCTCAAGATGTGCATATCTGCCTGCCATGCTCAGAGTTTCAAGCCCAGGCCATAATGCAGGGCTGAGTGACAGAACTAACGGGGCTTTCTAGGCACAGGTTGAGTTGGGCTATGTGGATGGGTGTGATCCCTGCCTTTCTTCCTTCTTTCTCTGTCTCATCCTGAGATGGCACTGGCTCTGGGGCAGAGGGTCTGGGAGTGATGACACGGGGAGAGACTCTTGCAGGGGTGTCTACACATGGGCTTTATACCAGGATAGAAACATTCCTGCCACAAGGGGGCTTGAAAAAGAGCTCCCTTCCAGCCCCCCTCAACATGGAGGTCCGCCCAACATTAAGGCCAACAATGTTGTCTCTTCCAATATTGAGCATGTGCATCCCCAACATGAGGGACTTAGATAAAAATGGAGCCCAGTCTGATGGAGGTGGCACAGGGTGGGGGCTGCTCAGTCAGAAGGTGGAGGCACCAATCTTGATTTATGCAGGTTGTGTTAGTGGTGGATCTTGGCCTGTCTCTGTGGTGTTGGCAGAATGTGGTGTTGCAATATTTGGAGAATAAATGAGGAAGAGTGGGTGGGGCATGGGGCATCTCCAGCTCCTCTTCTGATGGGTAAGGATAGAAGGTAGTGGGATCTGGAAAGACTAGGGAGAGTAAAATCTTCCAGTGCTGTTACTTTGAGTGAGCTTGACATTTGAAAATCATTTTACAGAAGGGTTTCCCTCAATTCTGTTTTGTAGATTATAAGCTCCTATAGGCCAGGAGTGTTCCATAGCTAAAATTACACAAATAAAACAAAGCCAAAACCAAAAACACTACCAATAACAACAATAAAAGAACTCTAAGTTTAATGAATACATTTTTCCATATTTAATTTTTTTCTTCCTTAAGTTTTTCACTTTAAGTATTTGGACAGCAGGCAAAAGAATAGCTGAATAAGTTGTGAATGTTGGTGGGAAGACTTGAAAATCATCCTTTGAACAGTGTTGAACAATTTTGGGATGTGTGAATGATGTAATACTTGTTTTAAGGAGAACTTCAGTGCCTGAGTTAAATGAGCCTGAACATTTGTAATGCAAAAACAAAACAAAACAAAACAAAAATACCAATTCTATGCCAAATCACAGTGAAGATGGGATTAAATATATATCTGTTTCTTCTGTCTAGCCCCAGACTTTCCAGGCCTAAAGCAGAGACCCACTCCTCTACATGCCAGCTACCCACATGTGCCAGTTTTTGAATATGCTCTGGTTTAGAGGTCTACACAGACACCATCTTAGGACTCAGGATGCAGTGAGAAACCTCAGGGCCTGGCCAGATCCTAATCAGTATTGGAGTCTGGCCAAACTAGCCTGTCCAGGGAGATGACAGAAGGTTTCTGAATATTGCAAAACATCCGGTCCAGGTCAGTTCCAGATTGGGAAGATGCCCGGAGACAGGGTAGAAGGTCTGGACAAGGACAGCCTGGACTTTCTGACAGCATAAAGTGAGCAGGGATGGCCTCTGGTGGCCAAGCCCTTAGAATGTCTCCTTTTTTATTTTATTTTGTTTTTAATTTTAATTTCAGTATAGTTAGCATACAGAGTTATAGGAGTTTCAGGTATATGCTATAGTGATTCAACAGTTTTATACATTATCAGAGCTCATCATGGTAAGTGTACTCTCAATCCCTTTTACCTATTTCACCCATCTCCCCACCCACCTCCTCTCAGGTAACCATCAGTTTGTTCTCTATATAGTTAAGAATCTGTTTTTTGGGTTGTCTCTTTTTTTCTTGGTTCATTTGTTTTGTTTCTTAAATTCCACATATGAGTGAGCTCATATGGTATTTGTCTTTCTCTGGCTTACTTCACCTGACATTATACTCCTTAGTTTCATTCATTCAAAACTATGTTGTTGCAAATGGTAAGATTTCATTCTTTTTTATGGCTGAGTAATATTTCATTATATATTATATATGTATATTATATATATATAATGTATATATAATCTTTTTTTACCCATTCATCTACTGATGGACACTTGGGTTGCTTCCACAATTTGGCTATTGTAAATAATGCCTCAATAAACATGGAGGGGCATATATCTTTTTGAATTAGTGTTTTCCTATTCTTTGGGTAACTATCTGGTAGTGGAATTACTGGATCATACGGCAGTTCCATTTTGAATTTTTTTATAAAACTTCATACAGTTTCCCACAGTGGCTGCACCAGTTTGCATCCCATCAGCAGTGCACGAGGGTTCATTTTTCTCTGCATCCTTGCCAACACTTGCTACCTGTGTTTTTGGTTTTAGCCATTCTGACAGTTGTGAGGTGGCATCTCCTGGTGGCTTCAATTTGCATTTCCCTGAGGATGAGTGATGTGGAGCATCTTTTCATGTGTCTGATGGCCATCTGGATGTCCTCTCTGGAGAACTGTCCATGTCTTCTGCTCACTTTTAATTGGATTATTTGAATTTTTGACGTTGAATTATAGAAGTTCCTTATATATTTTGGACACTAACCCTTTGTCAGATATGTCATTTGCAAATATGTTCTCCCATTCAGTAGGTTGTCTTCCGGCTTTGCTAATTATTTTCTTTGCCCTGTAGAAGCTTTTAATTTGAGGTAGTCCAAAGAGTTTGATTTTGCTTTTGTCTCCCTTGTCTCAGGAAACATATCTAGGAATGTCTCCTCTTTTAAACATGTAACTTATAACAGCTTCTCAGGACTGAGGGGTCTGAGGACCAGGCTGCCTCACACTCCCTTGTATTACAAATGGGTAAACTAAGGTGCAAGCAGAGGTGCTTCCCCCCGCCCCCCGCCCGACCCGCAAGGTCACACAAGGAAGCAGGACAATAACAGATTAGAACCTAGATTTCTCCACCCGTAGGTGTAATTCCAAGTGACTACCGCTCTTTTAAATGGACACTTGTTTTAAATTAGGAGGACTGAACCATTTAAAGACTCTCTGAGGGGCGACTCATTGGCTCTTAAGGTATTGGGCGAACACCCGGTTTCAAGGGCCCTTTAAGAGAACACGTATACAATGACCCACGTGTCCTGCACTTCCGGGATCCTTGAGGCCTTTCCTACCGGTGGTTAATCCCCCGCCCGCCCTCAAGGTATCTCGGGAAAAGTAGTTCCACTTTCCTGCAGACACAAGGTGGCGGCCGTCTTGAAACTGCATTTCCCAGAAGGCTTTGCTCGCCGCTTCGTAAACCGGGCTACGGGCCGGCGGAGTGAACCCCTCATCCTGTTTTTTGTTTTTTTTTTTTTTTTTTAAATTTCCCAGGGGATTAGTGACAGTGGGCAGAGACCTCTGGCGGCAGCCTCCGTGGGCTGCTTGACCTGGTGGAGCTGCGCGCCGAGGCTTTGAAACAGACCACACCGCTCGGCTTCCGGCCGGGAGACAGCAAGCTGAGGCCCTGCGTCTCCTTTAACCGCCGTGGGCGGGGCGTGGCGACGCGACCCGCGTTGCTATTGGCGGCGGTTGGGGGGCGCGGAAACTGAACCTGCCGCAACGGCCTACGCCGCCTTCTCCGGCGCCTTGGGCGCCCCCGGCCCGCCATGGCTGCGCCTTTCCCTGTAAGTGCCTGCCGGCGGTCTCCCCGCGGGGTGGGCGCCTGGCCGGGGCGATGGCTGCGAGGGGAGCATGTGGGACGCCGGGTTCCGAGCCGGTCTTCCCCAGCCCCGGGGTACGGTCTGTGCAGGGGGCGCTGGGTCGGGAAGCCTAGTGGGCACCTCCTGGAGCCAGAGCCTTTGCCGGCCACCGGGGCGGACCAGCCAGGCCCTGCTCCTAGGGTTTGCATCCTCGCGGAGGAGGCGGTAGTACTAGTGTGTTCCGACGGGAGGTCGGGCCAGAGGCCAGCGTCGGGCCTCCCTGGCCTCAGCCTGGCGGTCCTGAGCAGTGGGAGGCTGGGTGGGGGCGTGGTGAGCGTCCACCTTGCTCGGACGGGACAGCGCAGGTCTGCAGTGTGATCTGGGCCTGGCGCCCTGAGTTCCAGGTTCCTCCAGAGGGAAGCACTCCAACCCCCCCCCCCTTTTTTTTTTTCCCCTGAGAGAGTGTTTAAACAGGTCTCGCCTTTGGGCAGTGTCGAGAGTCAGAAAGACTGGGTGGTGCCTGCTGGCACCCTTAGGCGTGTGGGGACTCGAGCAGAGGGCCAAAATGTAGGCTTTTTGACCCCTAATCTAGGGCCCTTCCCATAAGTCCCTCCCCACTTGCTTCGAAATATCAACCACCTCTGGGGTGAGGAAGCACAGAGCCCAGTGGGATGAGGAGGTGGAAAGGCTGTTGGGAGGTTTCAGGGGCCGCCTGGTCAGAGGTGGATCTGAACTTGCTTCTGCCCACTGAGCCTAGAGGTGGGCATTATCTTCTCCCAAGAGGTTCAGGGGAGGCAGTTGCTGCTCTCTTGGGGACCCTCCCTCAGTCACCACTCCCTTTCTGTTGAAAGGGGCACTTAGGCAGGTGTGTTGGGGGTGGAGCTGGGCGCAGGGCCATGGGGGCCTTTGTTCTGGTTACAGCTCTCCAGGGTGGCAATGGACTTGCTCTGCCAACAAGGACTTTTTTTTTTTTTTTTTTCCTTCCAAGAGGAGGTTTGCTGGGCTCCCTGGTCTGCCCAAAATGCTTCTTTGGGGTTTCCGATATTTGGGATAGGGGAAGATGTTTGCATGGCAGGGCTATAACTCTCCCAAGTGCCAAGACAAGCTGCTATTGGGTGGAGAGAGTCTCTGGAATGTTTTCTCCATGTCTTACTAAGCAGTGCCCTGAACTACTGCTACCTTGATGTAGGGCGGAGTGGAGACGATGGCCCTGGCCCTTGGGGCCTATCCAGGGTGACCTCTAGGTTCATTGGCCAGTCCACAGTGAGATTGAGGGTACGGAATCTGATTCCTGAGATGGGGGTTGCTGAAAGACCCCCATTTTCTCTTCTTGATTCTTTTTTAAAGCTTTTATTTTTTTATTTATGATAATCACACACAGAGAGAGAGGCAGAGACACAGGCAGAGGGAGAAGCAGGCTTTCTGCACCGGGAGCCCGACGTGGGATTCGATCCCGGGTCTCCAGGATCACGCCCTGGGCCAAAGCCAGGCGCCAAACCGCTGCACCACCCAGGGATCCCTCTCTTCTTGATTCTTTTAGAAAAATTGCTTTGTTGAAATATTCAAATACCATAAAACCCTTTTAAGGTGGTAAGATTCATTGCTGTTTAGTACATTCTTTCACAGTGTTGTGCACACTCTAATCATCACACTCTAATTCCAGAATGTTTTTGTCACCCCAAAGAGAGACCTGTACCCACTAAACAGTCACTCCCGTTCGCCTCACTAATTTCTTCTGTAGATTTGCCTATTTTGGACATTTCATATACGTGGAATCAGACAAAGTGTGGCCTTTTATATCTGCCATCTTTCACTTCCCATGTTTTCCGGGTTCATCCATGTTGTAGCATGTTAGTACTTCCTTTTTTACTGCTGAATAGTATTCCATTGTATGAAGAGACCACATTTTGTTTATCTGTTCATCTGTTAATGAACATTTAGGTCTGTCCAGTTTTTGGCTATTGTGAGTAATATTGCTATGAATGCTTGTGTACAAGTATTTGTGTGAACGTGCTTTCAGTTCTTTGGGGCATTTACCCAGAATTACTGGGTCATTTGATAACTCTTTTTGAGGAACAGTGAACTTTTTTTCTATAGCAACTATTTTTTCATTTTTTTGGTTAAGATTATTTTGTCTAATTCTGGCTGTCTCACATTTTTATTTAATTTTAAGATCAGCTTGTCAATTTCTGTAAAAAGTGGCACCTAAAATTTTGATAGGGACTGTTGAATCTGTAGATCAATTTAGGGAGTAGCACATTTTAACAAAATTGCTTTCCATACTTTGAGCATGGATATTTTTTACCTGGGTCTTCTAAAATTTCTTTCAAAGGTGTTTTATAGTTTTCACTATATAAGCCTTCACTTTTTTTGTTAATTTTTTTTTAAGATTTTATTTTTAAGTAACCTCTATACCCAACTTGAGACTCAAACTCACAGCCCCAAGATCAAGAGTCATATGCTCTACTGACTGAGCCTATTCTTATATGTCATAAATGGAATTGTTATCATTCTTCAGATTTGTATTTTTGCACATCAGCAATAAACATAGATTTTTATATATTGATCTTGTATCCTGCAGCCTTGCTTAACTAGTTTATTAGTTCTAATAGTTTTCTAATAGTGGATTCCTTAGGATTTTCTATATATAAGATCAGCATTGAGTATTGAACAGCCTCTTGGCTGTTTTAGGAAGAGTCTTGGCCCTGGGTAAGCCTCTTTTTTACCAGGTTTCACACATTTGACCCTGGCTCTTCCACAGGAGGACCCCTCACTGGAGAGGCACTTTAAGGGCCACCGAGATGCAATTACCTCTGTGGACTTCAGTCTCAACACGAAGCAGCTGGGTAAGAGGAAACATCTTTTCCTAAGCACTAGATTATGAGCTGAGAAGGCTGAGTCTACCTGAAAGGGGCGGTGTCGGAGGAGTAGGGCACAGTGAAGGCCCAGGTGCTTTGTCTAGACCGGCATCTTGCTTCAGCTGACCAGCTGTCTGGGTGCTGGGCTTTGTGAACTCCATTCTATATACGGAGTGTGAGACTCCAGAGAGTTCGGGGCCTTGCCAAGGGCACGTAGCCTTGGAGAGTAGGCCCAGGGTCTGATTTTTTTCACTGCATATACCCCAGCCATCTGTTGGGTCTGGCTGGTGGAATGTCCCTAAACAGTGGCTCCTTTTTCTTGGGTCGTCCATTCTGTTGTCCACAGCAATATGGGAACATCTAGTTAAAGGATGAGAAGGATGAAGAGCAGAGCTGGGTACTCCCCTCCTGCCGCTCTTGTTCAGCAGCTGAGTGATGTGGCTCCTTGGTCTCTTGGGGGCTCATACATAGCTGTCATGGCTGCAGCTTTCTTTTTTCTGTGGACAAGGCTCTCCCTTTATTCCCATGGTCAGGGTCCCCTGCCAGAGTTGCTGGTCACTGTAGATTAAGAGCAAACTGGTCATTTGATCTGTCTTGGGGATCTCTAGGTTTCTGATTGACTTGGGCCTTCTCAATGGTAAGAGGTCCATTGGGTTGTCTGGGAGGACTTGTTTTCTAGTGCCCTTAAGGCACGACTGGGGGGGGAGCCCCACGGGGGATGAGTTTTCTCAGAGGCCTGCTGGGTTGCAGAAATGTGAAGGGCATCTCTTGGTCTGGCTCCCATGTGGGCCTGCTGCATGGAGAGCTGACAGCCCGTTGATTCTCCAAATCCCAGCTCAGCAGTTGCTGGAAGGGTGGTCTGTCTCCTGTCTCCCTACCCTGTCATCCTGCTGGAGGGTCAAGGCCCTCTAGAGCTGAGGGTTACAGCATCCCTACTTTCTCAGCCAGTGGCTCCATGGACTCATGCCTCATGGTCTGGCACATGAAGCCCCAGTCACGCGCCTACCGCTTTGCGGGCCACAAGGATGCTGTCACCTGTGTGAACTTCTCCCCTTCGGGACACCTGCTTGCCTCAGGCTCCCGGGACAAGACTGTCCGGATCTGGATACCCAATGTGTGAGTTACAGGCTTTGAAGGGCTTGTCAGAGCCTGGGGACCGGGTGCCAGAGCTGTCCACACTCAGGTCCCCATGCTGGTTCGGGACTTGTCACAGTGGGACATCTACCCTATTTCTGAAGAGGTGCCATCAGAAGCTGGGGCTCCAGTTAGGCCCCTCCCATTAGAGTTAGCAGCAGGGATTCTGGGCTTACCCCAGCCATCCTGGAAGGGATCCCATCTGATGCTGATGTGAGCAGGGTGAGTGGTGCGGTTCTGGCCTTCCTTGAGGGAGACTGGTGTGTGGGCCTGCACTGACATTGGGAGAGGCTTCTGAGGGAGGGGTGGGGAGACCTTTGAGGTGCTCACGGGCCTTCCCGTCACTGTTACGGGTTTCCTGAGTTGGAATACCCATCCCTGCAGCAAAGGCGAATCTACCGTGTTTCGTGCACACACAGCCACAGTGAGGAGCGTCCACTTCTGCAGTGATGGCCAGTCTCTTGTGACAGCCTCTGACGACAAAACAGTTAAGGTGTGGTCAACTCATCGCCAGAAATTCCTGTTCTCCCTAAGCCAGCACATCAACTGGGTACGCTGCGCCAGGTGAGCATCATCCTGCCCTAAGACCTTTGGAGGGACCTGGGGTTTGAGAGGCACTGAGGCGCTGCCAAGTTCCAGTATTATGACCTTGGGTAAACTAGTCTTTTTTTTCTTCCTGAGCCTCAGCTTCCTTATCTGTAAAATGGGGACAAAGAAGTTGTTACATTGTGAATTATTGAGGAGCTTCTAGCTCACATTTAACAAGTAAATTAGTTCATTGCCAGCCATGATTGAGCCCTTGACATCCGGGCTGATGTGGCCTAAAGCAAGTTAGCAGGGGTTATTGAGGAGCAATAGCAACACAATGGTATTGCTACTACCACTATACGATTTCTTTGCACTTTTCATGGCAACCCTGCAAGGTAGGGGTATCATTCCTATTTTGCAGATGAAGACACTGAGGTTCAGAACAGTGCAGTATCTTGCCTCTGGGTGCATGCTGGGTTAGTGGCAGAGCTGAGGTTGGAATCTGAATCTGCCTCTGAGAAGTTGACTTTGCTTGAGCTGCCAGTTGGGAGTTGAGGCTTCTGAGGAGGCTGCTCTGGAGGCTGGCTCTCCCTTTGGTGTGGTGGGGACAGTGCTGTGGTGATGGGGGCCAGGTGACTAAAGGATGATGTGGCTCCTTTCAGCTATTCTGATCCTTTCAGCAGAGATCTCCGTGCTCTGGAGGAAGAGGTTGGGAGGTCTGCGGACACTGGGAAACCATGGTAGTCAGAGGTCGGGAACTGTTGTGGCATTCTCCTGGGGACCCCATGCAAGTTACTTGTTCTTCAGGCCATCTTTGTCCTGGGAAGTCCCGGATTGCTCAGAGAGACCTCACCATCAGGCTCCTGAGAACAGGAGGGACCAGGCCAGCAGACAAGTATTGAGCCTATGCCAGCTTTTGGTGATGGGTCCCCAGGACCTCCACACATTTTTGTTGGTAGGTTGTTCTCAGAGTCAAATGTAGGCTCGGGGGACCTGGGAACAGGATAACGATGCTGATGGTGGGCTTTGGGCCACCTTCACTCTGATAGCATTAGCAGTCAGTACACAAGTTGCCACGTGCAGTGCTGGGGGCTTCGTGCACAGGAGGCTGCCCTCTGCTTACCACAAGGTAGGTACCATTCTTAGCTATCTCACAGAGGGAAAGCCACTTGCCCAGGATCACTCAGGGTCAGAGCAGTGCGTGTAGCTTTGGCTGGTTCTGGGATGGTGATGGTGTGACTTGTGCTCTGCCTGGTTCAGGTTCTCCCCTGACGGGCGGCTCATCGTGTCTGCCAGCGATGATAAGACTGTAAAGCTGTGGGACAAGACTAGCCGGGAGTGTGTCCACTCTTACTGTGAGCATGGCGGGTAAGTCACAGTGCCTGTCCTCTAACTGCAGGTGCTCATGAAAAGCATGGACGTAGGCACCCAGGGACCCCCCCAGAGAGGTGGGGCCACGTCTCTGCTGCTCTCTGCCTCTGAATTTTTTCCTATGTGACTGGAAGGTTCAGCCTCATCCCCATCTCCACAAATAATGAATGCTTAACCTCAAGACATGATTCTTGGGGGCCTTTCTATTCCCTTCACTTAATGGTTGTCAGATTGTGACTTGTCTATCCAAAAGAAGGTGACCCCAGACTCCCCAAAATCATGTTAGTGTATTATCTATGACGATGGGTTTATAAATGAAAGGCTTGTCAGGTTCTTGTAAGTTCTTGGTGGCTGTTCACACGGTGCTGCATCATCAGGAGAGGGAGGAGCCTGCATTAGAGCAGGGCCTCACCTGTTCTGGTCTCCTCAATGAACCTCAACTTCTGCCCTCCTCAGGTAGGCGGGAGCCCCAGGGAAAGGCATCTCCTAAGAGTTGGCCATGGTGCCAGCCTGAGTGTCACCTTGGCCTGTCTCCTTCAGATGGGTCAACCAGTGGCCTTGGGGTCCCACTGGCCCTTTGGGGCCAGGCCTCATCGCTTTGATGAGGGCCCTTGCTCTGACTCTGAACAGCCTGAGCTGTCAGCTGTCGTTTAGGCTGAAGACCCCTTTCTCTACTTGTATTTAGAGGTGGACGCTGGGATTCGGTCCCTGATGAGTCCACCTCCGGTCACTGTTAGCCACTGTTTTTGCCCTCTCCCTGCTGTCCCTTGGCCACCTGGTAAAGAAAAAGGGCAGAAGGGAGATATTCTGGGTTTGGGGAATAGCTTGAGCAGATGTGCAGGGATGGGAAAGGGGGTCTGTTCTGGGCCAGGACAGTCCTACAGCATGTGGCGGCCCCTGCCTTTCCAGCTTTGTCACCTACGTGGATTTCCACCCCAGTGGCACGTGCATCGCCGCTGCCGGCATGGACAACACAGTGAAGGTGTGGGACGTGCGGACGCACCGCCTCTTGCAGCACTACCAGCGTGAGTGTCCCTGAGCAGCCACAGCATGACGGTGCGGAACCTGGTGTCAGGCTTGTGGCCATCATGCTGAAGCAGGCCTGAGGACGGCCCTGGTCAATGGGGAGAAGTTCTGGGCCCATTGGGATCTCCAGGGGTCAACTCAGGTTGGAGACCAGAATCAGGAAGCAGCCCTGGGGCCATGTCCCCTGAGAATTATAGCCCTCGGAGGGCAGAACAGCGAGCAGTCAACATAGGCCATCTTAGGCTCCTGCTGGGAGGTAGGGTAGGGACGGACCGGGTGTGATTAGGGTGAGCTGGAAGGTACTGGAGTGTGGAACTTGAGAGCAGGTGTGACTGGGGAGGGCTGTGAGTCACCTCGGCCGTGGGGATGGGGAAAGGGAAGGAAGATGGTGAGCAGCCACGGGAGGATCTAGGAGTGGGGCCAGGGGCAATATGGTGGGCAGGCCTGTCGGCCTGGGGCTAAGACCAGGTTGGGGTAGAGCTGGAGTTGTTGGAAAAACTGTGGTTATTGTCTTGGGACTAGATTTAAAGTCCATGGGCTACTTCCAGAATTCACCCCTGAAATGGAGAGGATGCGTCTGGACAAAGGTGTTGGGCTTGGGGTTCAGCTTTCCCTTGCATCCCCTCCTAGCTGATTCTCAGCTGTTGAGGACAGCACTTCCTTGAGGTAACTGAGGCTAGCAGACCTCCCATGTTGAGGGAGAGGCTCTTGGTCTTAGAAAGCATATGGCGGAGGGTGGGCTTTGCAACCAGCCTCAGTATTTGGAGTTGTGGGTCGTTGGGCAGGGCATTTGACTCCTTTGGGCCCCCTGGGACAGTGATAGGGCCTCCTTCATAGATGGTGTTGGGAGGGTAATGAGTTAGTCTCTGCCAGAACTTAGAGAGTGCCAGGCACAAAACAGGAACCAAGTAAGGGGTTCAGATGCCGGTGTTGCCAAGTCTGGGTCCTGGAGATTCTGGAGTAGGGAGTCTGGCCTGCATTGCCCTACACCACCACCAGGTGGCAGAGGCTAGCCACTCTTCCTTAACAGAAAGCCCTGGGGCTCCTCGTAGCTGCAGCTGTTGCAGACAGACCTTCTAGAACAGAGTAGCTATGGGGTCTACCCTCTACTTGGAAACCACAGCTTTCCTTCCCTCCTTCAGGCTTAGAGGTCTCTCTTCTCTGGGCCAGGCCTGGGTTGGAGATGGCACACATCTGCAACGGTTGGCTGGGGGAGGGTTGGCAGGTATGGAGGAGTGCCGGGGCAGGAAGGTGCCTCTGAGTGTGGGGTCAGGAGTATTGGGAGGGGGAGGTGACGAGGCCAGGCAGGTTAGGAGTATAGGCTATTTCCTGTCTGTAAAGGGTGATGATAGTACCTCATGGGATTTGTGAAGATGTATTGGGGGAGTCTACATGATGATTATAATACAGTACTAGAAATGTGGTTAGTACCACATAAATCTTTTTCTTCTAATTTGTATTTTTATTATTTTTTTCATCACATAAGTCTTGACACTGAGGGGAGAGGATCTCTAGGTGACCACAGGAGAGTCCAGCCTCACCTCTGATGGATCAGGAGCATGGGTCTGGGTTTGTGGCATGCACCAGTAGGAACCCATTGAGGAGGGCGTTGAATGCCATATTCTGGCCCATGGTCCAAAAGATGCAGCCTGGCTGGCAGTGCTGGGACTGGTCCCATTGCTCGAAGAGCAAAGGTATGTCTGAAAGGACATACAGAGCCTGCCTGGGTGGGAAACTGGTGTGCTTGGGTGACTGGTGGGTGGGCTACTTATGCCCCATGTCTGAGTGAGAGCAGGGCATCCAAGTAGGGCAGGGATCAGGTCCAAGGGATAGGTTTTGGAGATTGAGCGAGTCAGTAGGTGACACTACGGGTTGAGGGCCCAGCTGGGCCCAGAAAGCTGGACCTTGAGAAGGGCTGAGGCCATATCATGGGTCCCTATGATTGAGGGGCCATGGAGGGAAAGGTCCACAAAGCAGCCAGAGTGAGGGATGGAAAAGGGCTGAGGGGGCAGGACCGGAGGCATAAAGAAAAACAGTCTCCTAAAGAGGGTGATCAGGAGGTAGAGTGATACAGAGCAGTTGAGAAGGGTGGCAGGTGCTGGAGAGAGGTCCCTGGAGTTCTTGAGGGGGCAGGCTTGGCAGTGGGTGGGCCGGGGAGTCAGTGACTGGTGGGGCTGGGGATGTGGTGAGGGGGCTCAGGTGGCATCAGGAGCCAAATCCTGAGAGGACTCGGGGTACATGAGGCTTATAGGCTCTCTGCAGAGAGATTTCAGTGTGTTTTTGCTATTGTCCTTTGCTCTTATGACAGACCTACTCTGTCTTGTTCCTAAGCCACCTGAATATATATCAGAGGCCTTGAGTGGCTTGGAGTACCCTGTAAACAACTGAGTTTCCTTAGCTCCCTGCCCAATACATGGTGTACAGGGCAGCAAACTCATCCCACTGCCTCTAAACTCACCCTCTGGAGCTCAAGGAGAGCCACGTGGATCTGAGGATACTGTTGGGGGACATACCCCTCACCCGTTATGCTGCTTGAGGGACCTGGCCAGGTCTGCTCAGGTCTACTGGCACCTCTTAGGAGCTGCGTGGCCGAACCTTCGACCTTAGAGGCTCTCACTAACCCTTAGTAGCAGCTGCTCCCTCATCCTCAGGGGTACAGGGGCATCTCTTTGGAGGCTGATTCTCCAGGAAGGACTCCTGGCACTCTGACAGCAGACACTTGAGCTGAGCTGTTTTTCACCCCTGATCCCTAGGAAACCCAGAGGAAAGTTTTTAAGAACACAGACATCCCCTATCTCCCTTGGTGACTCTGGATGAGTACCAGACACTCCTGGGTGGGCCTTGGACACATGAGGTTGTTGGGCTTTTCCAAGACCTTTTGATTCTTGATGCTACAGTGTGTGGTCAGCATTCCCAGCCCGCCTGTGTCCAGCTGCCCCAGGGTTGTGCCTCATGGAGGATACTTCCTGTCCCGTGCTGGGTTGTTGGAAGTTAATTTGGGCAACAGCAGGCAGCTGGTACCGTTTGTCTCAGGCAGGAGTTTCTTGGCTCCGGTCTGTCACTGTGGGGAGCAATTCTGGTTTCCCAATTCAACAAGGAGACGGTGGGGCTGTTGGAGCCCTGGGAGTGCCGGTCCCCACGGAGGTGGGTTAGGCTCCATATGCTCTGAGCCCACAGTAAGGCTGTTCACACATCTGAGCGGCAACCCCCATCCGGAACCCATAATGTGGTTTGCAGCTTATAGGCACGTGCAGGTCCGCTATCTAGAGAGGGGCCCAGGTGGATAGCAGGACAGCGTTACTCCCCATTTCACAGTTGGGGAATTTGAGGCTTGCCTGTGGCTACATGGCTGAGAGGCTGGGAATCTGAGTCTCCAACTGAAGGCCTCCGAGTGTGGTGTTCTGTCCGCCACCCCATGCTTGGTTCCTTACACCATGTTGATTCTAGTCATTTATTTCCTGAGGCCCCTGGAAGGGCTTGGCTCAGCCCTCTCCAGAAATTGTAGTTAGAACTCAAGAGTTCCAGGTTCTCTGTCCACTGGTTCTTAACACACTCCTCCGCCCTACCCCAGATATGGTCAGGGAGGGTGGTTCTTTTTAAGGATTTTATTTAAATAAAATAAATAAATAAATAAACAAATCGTTGAGAGAATGAGCATGCACACACACATGAGTTGGGGAGAGGGACAAGCAGACTTCCAGGGAGCCGGGCTTGGGGCTTGATCCCAGGATCCTGGGATTATGACCTGAACTGAAGACAGATGCTTAACAAACTGAGCCACCCAGGCACCCCAGTCATGGATGATTTTAAGGCAGCTGTGCAGTCTGTGGGATGGACCTGTATCTTTTGCTTGACGTTTTGAGACCAAAAGGTTTGGTCAGGAGGCAGTGTACTCTCCCACCTGATCTGGCCAACTCATTGGCTCTTTCCCGCCATCCCTAAGCGGCATTTATGTGACGTTCACAAAGAGGAGCGTTTTGAGCATCCTTCCCTGCTGCTATCAGAGCACCTTCATGTATGAACCCATAGTCCCTCATAAACCCAAAGTCACTGGTAATGCCAGTTGCATGTTATGAAGAGTCACCCTAGGTGAAGTGAGCTAAGCCCTTTGTGATGAGGGTGGGGTGGGGCTTGGCCTCGTGTGACTGCCTTAGAAAGGGACCTCCTATGTGGGTACCTGGGGGTTCTCTGGGCCCCTTGGTCAGTTTGGAGCCCGCTGGGCAATGGGCTAGGTTTGCTGAAGGCTTGTACCTACAGACCTCTGTGGGGCAGAGTGGATTGTGGGTACCTAGGACTCTCCTTAAGCCACATGCTGCCCACAAGCTATGGCCAGTTCCCAGTGCTCAGGGGCAGGGTCTGCAGTGGCCTCAGTCCCAACCTCTCTGGGCTCCTGGTGACCTGTAGAATCTTGAGAGTGTATCTCTGACCTTGAGCTGGAGTCTCTTCTCTGGGGAATAAGAGCCAGGAGCCCACAGCTGTGCCCGAATGGCACTCTGCCATCAGTTGACACCATTAACTGCCATGGAAGCAAGAAGAGGGCCTGCAGCTTTGGGCTTGATGAAAAGTGGATTGTTTCTGGACAGTCACTGCTTAGGCCTTTATGGCAGGAGCCTCCCTGGGGGGCTGTCATTCAGGGATGATTCTTAGGATGAGGTCTCCCTAGAACGTGTTTCCCACCTCTGTAGAGCTAGAGAGGCTGCTCCAGGCTGGTGGGGCCGGTGGGTGAGGCAGGAGAATGAGTAGGGAAAGGTAATAGGTCCTGGTGTCTAGTACATCCTCATCCCCCAAGCTGAGTCCTCTTCTGGAGTAAATGGTTCCAGATGTTTCCACCCTAGCTAGGAGGCCTTTGATATTTCTGCCATTTATAGTGGAGCAGGGCTTTTGGTGCCTTTCTTCTGTGGGGAGATTCCCTCCTGGGGTAGACTCGCCTAGGTGGGAGGTCCTGGTGTAGTGTCCGCATCCTGACTCTGCCACCCTGCTGGTGCCGGGAAGCCCTGGGCCCCCTGAGCTCGCCCTCCTGTGACCCACCCTCCTGCCCTGACTGCTCCTCTGCCAGCTTTGTCTCAGGTGGGGTGGGGTGGCATTCATTCCAGTACCGGCTGCCAAGGGCTGCAGAAACAAGAATAGAGCACCCTTCTCCAGCTCAGGGAGGGAGATGTGCCAGGAGCAGCATTTGAAGAGGTCCAGAGGGAGATGGGGCATGGGGAGGTAGACGCAGGGCAGGCTGCCTCTCAGCTGTCTTGCCGTGGGGCTGAGAGGTCGAGGATGGTGGGGCTCCCCTGGGGAGAATCTCACAGGGTTTAGGCCCAGCTCCCACCCCACTTCACTGCCAGTGTGAACCAGCAATCTGGAGAGAATAGCTGGCCCCTTGGGAGCGCCAGGGCGCTAGCTCTTTGCCTGTAGATTCATGACCTACAGTGCTGGCAGGAGAATGCTGAGCCAGACTGGGCTCCCACCTCCCTGGACATGACTCACTCTTCTTAGGAGGGGGAAGGATTCACTTTTTATCATTCACCCAGTTGTGTAATCACAGTGACTGTATTCTGATGGTTAAAAAAAAAAAATCTGGAAGTATGCAGAGTAAAAATTAGAAGTCTGCGTATTCCTATCCTCCCCAGAGGATGCTGTAGAAGGTCTCTATCTGGAGCTCTGTCCACTCTGTGCGTGTGTGTGCGCGCGCGCATGCTCTTCCACTTGTGGAATTAATTATCTTATTAATTTTAAGTAAATAAATTAATTAAACAATTAAATATATTATTAATAACCACTCTGTGTTACTAATGTTCTTTCTGCTACTGCTTGTGGCTGGTGCTTGTTCAGTTCCTGAGGGGGTCAGCTGGGGCTGTATTCTTTTGCTTTCCATGCCCAGATCTTGGTAAACACTGAGGATGCTGACCTCCCTCCCACCACAGCCTGGAGTATGGGGAGTGTGTTGGGCTGTGAGGCTCTGTGGAGACCCCGTGAGCCCTCTGTAGGTTGGCTCCTGGAGTTCTAGTGCTTGGAGAGTATTCACACATAAATATTGGGTTATGTAAAGCCCAGGCTGTCTCCCCTGTGTGCTTGGGAACATGTACCCACACTCCCCAGGCATATTGGCACATCAGCTGGGCTGGTGTCTGAGGGGCTCACTGTCCCCTGTGGGTTCTGCTGAAGGCTGGCTTGTGGTGGATGTGTTTACTGGCTTAGCAATGGTTCTTGCAGCCTCTCAGTGCCAGGATGAGGGGTTGGTTTTAGAATTTGTCTTTCTGTTTGTAGGACTTCTGACTTGGCGAGCCATGGTTATCTCATGGAGTCCTGGAGTCCTCCACCCAGCCTGTGGTAGGGGGGATGAAGGCACCAAGGTCTTCTTTAGCAGCTGCTTTAAGAAGCTGCGATGTAGCTTGTCCTCATATTATCCCTATGTAGCCTGCCTGGGTCCACCTCACCCATTCACCAACCACTTTCTGAACCCAGCACAGTGTCAGGACTGAGCCATGAAGAGAAGACCCAACATGGCCCCATGTGCCTGATAGCACATTGTCTTGTGGGGATCCTGGCCATGAATCAAATAGATACACATAAACATTATACACTGTGGTGAAGAGTGCACCCACCGGAGACTCATGGTGCTTCAGGAGGACAATTTGAGGGGGTGGCCTCAATGAGGTCAGGAGGCTTCCCTGAGGAGGTGACCGAGTGGTGAGCTTCAGGGTCAGGGGAAGAAGTCTCCCAGGTCCATGCAGAATAGCTGGGCTGCTGACAGGGTAGGGGTGGCTGGATCTTGCAGAGTAAGGGACACCAGGATGTACGGTGGGGCTTAGGCCAGGCCACTGGGGAAAAGAAAGTCACGGCTGAGGTTGAGCTGGAAGCTCTGTTGTGACATCTGTGGCAGCAGAGAGGCACATCTGAGGGCTCCCTCTGTACAGAGGCCTCACAGGCAAGGTTCCTCCCTACAGCGCGCCTAAGAGCAGGAGAAGCTGGCACAAAGAGTTAGGATGCTTGTTCAAGGTCCTCAGGTGAGGGAGAGTAGGGAGGCTGGGATTGGAACCCAGGCCTGACTTGCTCCTGAAAGTGTCTTACCGTCTGGCCGCCTGCCCCACTCACATACTCTCATGGGAAGGGGCATTGTACTGGCACCTTAGGGATTGTCTTCCATCTGGTTTCCCCTAAGTAGCAGTATGACAGACAGATTGTGCGTTATGTTTGAGTACTCCATTCTGCTCCAGCTTGATCGCTCCGTGTGGTGGGAGAGGTAGAGGAATCACCTGATCTCTCTGGCCTTGTCACATGGGCTCCCGCCTGTCTTTGTCTCCTGCTGCCTGTCCTCAGCTCTGGATGAATCTGTTCCTGTACTTTGGTTGTGGGGCTCCCCGTAGCTCATTGGAGCTATGGCCACCCTGGCCCAGCCTTGTGCTGAGCTTCAGTTGGCCCTGGTTGCCCATCTTCAGGCTTCAGCTGCATCCCCAGGCCTCCCAGCCAATGTCTGACTGATATCCCTCCCCTAGTGCACAGCGCAGCAGTGAATGCCCTCTCCTTCCACCCATCTGGAAACTACCTGCTCACGGCTTCCAGCGACTCGACCCTGAAGATCCTGGACCTTATGGAGGGCCGGCTGCTCTACACACTCCATGGGCATCAGGTGAGGGCATCAGCCTGGTGCTGTGTGGTGTGGAGGGAGGAGGAGGTGCTGTCTGGAGGCCTCTACAGGGCTGGGGTTCAGCTGAGATGGCCCTTCCTTTGGAGCCTGCTGGAGACGGTTTCTGTGGTCCCCTCACAGCCTGGGCAATGGGGTGAGATGCAGAAACAGTTTTGTCCCTCCCAAGACCTATGACCTCTAACAGAGTGCTGGGTCTGGTACAGAAGCTGAGAAGGGAGTGTGGGTGTTAACTTGGGGTGGCGTGGGAGGGGACGCATGGGAACGTGGTTGGCACACTTCTCCTAGGGGTCTCTTGGTCCAGCAGTTGAGGAGAACCCTGGAACCCATGCCTTGAATTGGGGTCCCTTGGGGGTTTTACAGACATCAGTGCCTTTAGAGCTAGAAACTGCAGGTGCTAAGGGGGACATCTTCCTGTGTGTGTGTGTGTTTGCAAATTCCTGGAATTGAATCAAGGGAGTAGAGGCCTTCTCTCTGATTTTTGCCAATGCAGCTGGTGGCCTGGATTCCCTGGGTGGGCGGTGACCAGGCACCAGCCCCTATGGGCAGGCCATAGTGAGGTGGGCTGCTCACAGCACTCCCTAGCAGCTGGCCTGGGTGCTGGCCTCTCCTACCCACCCCACCCCCATCAGGAAGTGTGCCTAAGTAGAGCAGTCATTGGAAGGTCTCTTGTCGGGACATCATTGTCACAGCCAAGTGGGGCAGAGGGTGCAGAGACCAGAGCTTCCAGTTCATCCCCTTCTCCACCTGCGAGTGGGAGGGAGGCAGGGTGGAGTGGGGATGGACTCTTGAGGGCTGAGTGAGGCGCTGCAGTGCTCATGAATCTTGGGCTGGCAGCAAGGTGTGAGGTGTCTAGCTAGGGCTCTGGATTCCACTGCCATCTGAGTTGGGCCCATAGGGGTCATTGGTCATGGCTTGGGTGGGAGCATGGGCCTTTTCTTCTGCCTTCTTGGGACCTCTTCCCATGGTGATTGCTTGCCCTCCATGTCATGAGTCTGGAGTGCAGGACCTGTGGTCTCCTCCATACAGCAGCTAGTACATCTAGGTGTAACATTTGGCCTCTGGGCTGGGTGATTGCTGCTCTTGTTGCAGACTGTTGGGGAGCCACTTTTGTTAGTCCTTTTGGCATGTTCATTGTTCAGATTCACGTGTAACCAGTTTGGGATCTTATAACCAGGAGAACATTTGAAAACTACATGAATGGTGCTATTTCCCCTGCTCCCCACAGAAAGAATAAGTGATATCCAGAAATATTATGCGAATAGATGCATGCCAAATGATCACCCAGGGTTTTTGGGTGTGTGTGTGTGTGTGTGTGTGTGTGTGTGTGTGTGTGTGTGTGTGTTCTTTAAACTGCTGACTCACCTCTTAGCCTGATAACCCTTCATTATGGTGTATAAAATGCCTGTCCAAGTTCGGACCCAGCATCGAGCGCATAAAGGAAACCTGTTGACATTGTTCTCCTGGAGATGTGAGACAGGAACCAAGTGAAACACGCTTAGCTGCTTTTCTGCCATTGAACCTGAAAGTGTGGGAACGAAGCTGAGGGACAGCTGGCAGTTTGTCCAGCCCCATGCAGCATGCAGATGTGTCATCCTCGTGGGCTTCCCACTTGTGAGGTCCATTCCCTGGCCCATCTATCCAGGAAGGTGCTCACCTGGGCTCTCTGGTGACTCGAGCACTCGTGTCCTGTTCCAGGAGGTGTTTAAGTGCCCCATCAGGCCCAGGTGCCCCAGCCCCTTCCTGAAGTGTGTGACTGAGCAGCCCCAGGGCTCTGGAGTGGATCATTGGTGCCCAGAGGTTCTGTCCCACACACAAGGATGGCTGATTTGAAAGTACTTTTGATCCTGGTGCAACTGAGACCCAGGGAGTGCTGTGGAATGGTAGGGGTCCCACGCAGCTTAGGGTGGCAGAGCTGGGACAGGTATTCAAGCATCTGCAGTTTCCACCCTACTTGCTGGTCTTGATGGACGGTTTTTGAGATGTTGAGTTGTGATTATACTCTTGGTTTTAGATCACTGGTCTGTGTAGGAGGCTAGAAGGCCTTGTGGCTGCTTGTGTTCTCCCCTTGCTGCTACATGACTTCATTCTGGTCCAGCAGGAGGGAGCCCTGTGAAACTTCAGTCTGGACTTGGAGGCCCTCTCTGGGACAGTCCCCAGGCAGGAGAGGGAAGAGCTGTGGGAGGGAAGGCTACTGAGTTTTTCTGCCAAGTGGAGCATACCCCCACATGCTTCTAGTTCCATACCTGTGAGAAGAGACAGTGCAGGCTCAGGGACAGGTGAGCCACAGGGAGCTAATGCTGGGGTGAGACAGTCCTTGGCCAGGAGGGGGCTTTCAGTGTGTACTAGGGAGTCTCTCTGTGCCACATAAGGGCAGGGCCTGAGCCAACCCCTCTGTAGGAACAGTGATGGGAGGTCAGGGTGGAGAAGAAGGGTCAGGGGAGGCAGTGTTGTTGGGCCGAGACTCTTATCTGGGTTGAGGCTAGAAATCTCATATGCTATTTAGTGGCTATTTAGTGGTCTCCTAAAGGCACAGGGGCACCAGGATGGAGGCATTTGCCAAGTGCCAAAGCTAAGATCAAGATCGTCCAATGTAGTCTGAGTCTCCTGTATTGTGTTGAGAGCAGCTTATCAGCCCAGGAATCTGACCATAGCAGCAGTTTGGTGGTTCTCTAGCATGTGATTGGCCAAACAGAAGCCACGGTTTCTGAACATAACCCAAGCAGATATGGACACCTGTGCCAAGGCAGGTGGTGGTGGCACAGGCTGAGGAGCCTGTTAGGGCTGAGAGGTAGGGTAGCCCTCTACCTCCAGCCGATCTGCCCACCCCAGGTGGAAAGTGGACAGAGTATGGAGGGCGCTGCCAGCCTGGATGTGGCACATTGCCCTCCTTCCTTTGCCTTCACCCCTGGGAACACCAGAACAGTTTCTCTCTCAGTGACTTGAGCTGGTAAAGAGCCTGTACCAGGCACCTTTGCCAGCTTCTTTGAGGCCAAGTGCCAGGATGCATTGAGTTGGGGGAGGGTTCATACAGCCTTGTCTGGTAGGTGATGGTGCCTAGCTCTTTAAGGAGACACCCAAATATTTCCAGGAACAGAGAGCTTGTTCCCACTTATTTCTGGTTTGGAAAAGCCACGGGTACTCTCCCACCTAGTTCAGCCGAAAAATCTAAGCTTTAGGAGCCTGCATTCTGGAAGAAGGGCCTTAGATGTCAAGGTCAGGCCATCCCAACTTTGCCTCTTACCCTGGATATTGGGCAGGACCTTGACTTTGCTGAAGATTTTCTCATTTGTAAGAACTCCTATATTTGCCTTATAAAAGGAGAGCATGTGTCTACATTCCCCAGCACCAGGCATGGTAGGTCCTCACATGTGTTGGTCCTTTCCCACTTCAGCTCTTGGGAAAGATCCCTGCTGCTCTAGATTAGAGCTCTTTAAAAGGCCATTGAAGGTCAGCTAGGTGGTTCAGTTGGTTAAGCATCTGCCTTTGGCTCAGGTCATTGTCTCATGGTCCTGGGATCGAGTCCCTGCACAGCAGGGAGTCCACTTCTCTCTCTGTCCCTCCCCGCTGCCTCTCTCTCACTCTCTGTCTGAAATAAATAAAATATTTTAAAATAAAAAGTAAACAAAAGACCATTGAACATTTCTGTTAAGGGCATGGTCTTGGCACCCTGGGTGGGCAGTCAGTCTTAGGTAAGGTCTCTAATTGTTCCACCCCCTTTGATGGGCACAGGGCTATAGTCATCAGCCCCTCCCTGTTCTGGGCTAGGGAGTGCCTGTTTCCCTTCCTTCCGTCACCCACAGAGTCTTTCAAGGGTTTATCTAGCTTTTTGTTTTGTTCAGGCTTGTCCTCATCTCCCCCAGAGCATCCTCTTGCTTTGGTTTCTCTTTAACCGTACAGCTTGGGAAATCTGTCCCTGCTGTGACTCTGCCTGAATGCATTTGTCCCCACCAATTGCTGTGAGTAGGTGTGGCTGCTGCCTCAGTCTCCAGGCCTGTTTTCAGTGCCCTTGACTAGTCCTGCCCATTGGCCATCTTTTCTAGGGCCTGGTTCCTGGAGGACTGGCCAGATATCTTGGCAGTGGGCTAGCAGGGGTACCATTGCCCTCTCTGAGGCTCTGGAAGGTCTTGCTCTGGGGATCAGCCACAGTGACAGGTAAGCAGAAGGAAAAGGAGTCCTTCCTTCTTGCAGGATCCAGTATAGACTTAGTGGTGTCAGGGCATACAGGGACCTCATCCTCTCCCACCCCTCACTTTGTAGCAGGGAAGAACAAGAGAAGGAAGAGCTTTCCTACCAAGTACAGCTGTTGTTTGAAGCCTTGTGCCCTGAGTGAGGCCACCATAGCTCTGTGTGGCAAGTGTGGGGGCAGTGTGCTCAAAATAAAGATTTATTTTTCTGTATTTTCTGAAACATAATCTTGAGCCATGCTCATTTGGTTTAAGTCCCCAGAGCTATTTGGGAGAGGATGGTGGGCGGGATGTGGGTGGGAGTTAAATCTGGTGTTTATGGCTAGCAGTTGGTGTTCGTGTTGCTGTGGAGTGACTGAGCTGCACGGGGGCCACCCGGCATGTGGTTCCATGCACCCTGCCTGGCTCATGGTGAAGGTGAGCAGCCATCAAGGGCCTAGAACCCCAGCCAGGGCTGCTGTTTGTACCTCTTTGTTTTTTCCAGTGCTCTGCGGCCCTTGTATAGTCATTTCATTTTGGAGAATCACATTTATGCCTGGGAGGCTCAGACCTTGCTTGGGTGGTTAAGCACCTCTTGGGAGAGGTGAGAGGACATCAAGAGGGAGAATAGCTCATTTACTTCAATCAGTAAACCAAGAAGTCAGCCTGGCCTTCTGTCCCCTGCCAGCAGCTCAGGGTTGAGGGTTGGGAGCAGGTGTCCTTGGCCAAGGTCAGGAGAGAGCCTCAGCATTCCTGGACACCAGCTCCTCTCAGAGGCTACTCTTTGTCCATGGGGTCACTACTCAGACATAAGAGCCAGCCATGGTGAGCGGGTGCAGGAGCCTCCCCAGTGTGGGGGTTTGTGGGAGAAGCAGCTTAGGGACATCAGAGACCACTGCTCCATAGCAGGGGCCTCTCAGGCCTCCATATCTTTTTTGGATGGTCACTCTTCTACCTCTGACTCAAGGCATGTGAGTGATATATTCCTATTTGCTTGCTGGAAGCCAGTGAAAAACATTTCAAAAGTCTGTGAGGTGGTGGTGGACGAGGTACCTGGCTGGGTCTTGGCCAGTATAGCTGTTGTGGGCACAGTGGTCAAAGTTTCAGGTGTGTAGGAGCCTCAGGGAGTCAGGTGGAAAGGGGTAAGGAGAGCACAGGGGTCTGGACAAGTTGCAGGGGCTATGAAGGGAGAGTCACCAGTAGCTATGGGATCTGAACACCATGGGTTTCTTTGCACACACACCCCCCCCTTTTTAAACTTTCTTGATTGGTGCTTTGCCATGCAAACACAAAGAAAGCAGACTGTGGGTCCCTTGATCTGGAGGTTATCAAGGCAGAGACATTATGTGATGAAGTGACTGGGTATGGGTCCAGCCTAGCTCGAGGGCTATGTGTGGCTGGATCATGAGGGAGAGCAGGGTGGGAGGCCAGGCTGCATCCCGTGCTTGTGATGATCACACAGAATCGTCTTACCAAAGACTGGCCAGATCTGGAGAGGGAGAGAAGGATCCAGTTGAACTTGTGAGAGGTTCATGCCAGAAGATGTGACCTAGAGCCAGATGGGGACCAGATGTCAGGCAGGTGGGCACCTCTGGCAATCAGACTACACTGCTGCAGTCTCAGCCAAGAGCTTATAGTTGACTCAGGAGTCACTGCAAAGGCCCCTGCATCTTGCCTGGGAGAAGAAACTTGATGACATCCCTACCCCAAGCCAGTGAACGAATGCATTGAGAGTGACTAATTAACTGAAAAGAATAAGCCACCTTGCAGGCAGTACATCTGAAAGAACGTGGATCCCATGTGATTGTTGTCAGTGATAATAGGGAACCTCCCCGGCTCCCCTGCCCCACCCCAAAGCCCCAGTGGTTTGGAAGCTAGAATGCACTCCTAAATAACTGCTGGGCTAGGACTCCTGGGTGGCTCAGTGGTTGAGTGTCTGCCTTTAGCTCAGGTTGTGATCCTGGGGTCCTGGGATCGAGTCCCACATCGGGCTCCCTGCAGGGAGCCTGCTTCTCCCTCTGTGTCTGTGCTTCTCTCTGTGTCTTTCAATAAATAAATAAAAAAAAAAAAACTGCTGAGCTAAAGAGAATGGCAGTGGAAACTGAACGTCTGGAGGTGGCTGCCAGTGAGACTATCACATGTTGGAGACTTTGGGGTTGTGTCTAAAGTAGTAATCTGAGGCAAATGTGTAGCCTTAAATGAGTTTATTTAAAACTAAAAAAGATGGGAAATAACTGAATTGAGAGCTGAATGCCAGAAGTTGCAGAAAGATCATGAAACAAGATGAGGCCCTTTGGAGCTTGCAGTGAGGAGCAGTGAACAGGCCAGTGGGGCTGGAGCACCAGTGAGGTCGGTGGGGGCCAGGGCTGTATGAGCCCTGAAGGGGTGACATGATGGTTGTCAGTGGTAGAGAAGCCTAGTCTGTGTTCTATTCCCTGCTGGCTGTGGCCCGTGGCAGAACTGCTTTCATGGGCCACAGACGGACAGACGAGCCTTTGTGGAAGGTTGCTCTTTCGGGAAACATAAAGGTACCTGGTACAGGAGCCGAGCAGCCCTCTGGGTAAATGGACACTACTGGGGAGGACTGTGGGCCTTTGCTGCCTTACTGCTTGTGTGTTGTTGGTGCCATCCTCAGGGTTTCTGGGCATTTGGACTCTAGGGATGGCTCTAGCACCTGCTTTCTGGTTCCAGTCCCCCATCGGGCCATGGGCTGCCCCAGCTGCCTTCTTCAGGAGCACTGCCACAGCTTGGCCTCCAGTATCTTGTCCCCAGCTTGCATCTGGTGGTTGAGTGACAGCAGGAAAGGAGACTGATGAGTATTTGTTTGGTTCTGTAGTTGCTGTGACTTCTTGGAGACCAGCTATTCCTCAATGAGCTCTGGGCAGGCAGCGAGCCCGGCTCTTTTGATGCTCCATGTCCTGATTTCTTTCTCTTTTCCCTCTTCCCTTGTTTTTCCTCAAAATGAAAATAGTATTGTTTTAATATGAACATAGCAATGCCATATACTCATTGCTTAAGAATTCAAAGTTTGGGAAATTACAAGATTCCCAAGAATCAAGTAAAAGTCATCTGAAATTTCCTCCCCCCACCATCCCATAAGTTCTGTTCACCTTGTTAACCATTGGGGGTTGTCCACCTGGGAGAGTATCCAAGGGATGCTCGACCTGTCCCCTCTCCTCCTGCACTCAGCCCTGCGCTTGCAGCCCATGATGTCTTGCACCTGGCATTTTGCACTGATAATCATTGACGTCGTTCCCAGTCATAAGGATGGATCTCCTTTGTCCTGTTGGGTGGCCCTGTGGGACTCCCAGCCTCCCTGATCCCCATCTGTGAGAAAAGGCAGAGAGAGGCACAGGGGGAGGAGGCTTTGTCTCTGATTTCTCAGGCCTTGGTCTCTGCTTGGGAACATGTCACCCGTAGGAGGGGTAAGCATGCATACCATTCTCTGAAGATTAAGTGGGTTAGTGAAGGTTAAGTGTTAACTGGCCTTGTCCTTACTTTCTTCCTCACCAAGTGACATGCACACGTTGGAGGGATGCGTCTTGTTGCTCCTCTGCCCAGGCACCTTTGATGATCCCCTCCCCAGCCTCCTTCCTGCCCCGGTTCTGGCCTCTTGTGTAACCTGGAGTCCCTGACTGTGCCCTTCTGCTCACTCTTCCTTGAGGCCACATGCACTTCTCTGGTTGGCTGTGGGGTGGTGTGGGGGAGGAACATGGTCTGGGCCAGGAGGACTGAGTTCTGGAGCCAGTGCTGGGCCTGGGATAAGTCAACGCACCTCTCTGACCTCCAGCTTGCCCTTGGGAGATGAGGACACGGGACAGTGATGTCAACCCAGCAGGGCTGTCAGTGTGCACTGTCCTCGGCTTCCTCTTCTCTGGCCACCCATGACCCTGTGGCCTAGCCTTTGTGCCATCAGTGGCACTTGGAAGCAGAGGCCTCAGCAGTGGCACTCACGGCTGAGCTCCTGCAGGTGCCCCTGCTGGAGGTTGAGTAGGCCCTCAGCCCTCTGTCCTGCAGCTGCTCTCACTCATGAGATTCTAGTTTTTTTCCTGGGTGTTTAGAATCTAGAGTGATCTTTGGTGTTTGTTCTTTTTTGTTTGTTCTGATAGGGTCCAGCCACCACTGTTGCCTTTTCAAGAACGGGGGAGTATTTTGCTTCTGGAGGTTCTGATGAACAAGTGAGTAACGAATGGTCTGAGGAATGTTGGCTGATACTTACCAGAAGAGAACAGGAGGCCAAGATGTCTTCAGGATGGGCCAGGTTTCACTGGCTTCCTTGGTGGCTTTCAGCCACCATGAAGGCTAGAACTTGGGGTGAGGTGCTCAGACCCAGGGTGCTCGTCTCCCCAGGACAAGTCTCCTATGGGAGCTGATCTCGTGGCAGCCTCTTAAAACCCTTACTGCTTAAACCAGCATGGGTTGCCTGGAGCCTGAGCTCTCGTTGCCATGAAAAAGTTAATATGAAGATTTTTAGTGCTTCTTTTTCCTGATTATAAATGAGTAATTAGATAGTTAGTGGATACAGACTATAGCCTGGCAACTCAGGCAGTGTGGCAAATGCTTCATAACCTCATTTAATCCCCACAGCAGCTCTGGGGCCAGGCCCTCTGGTCACTCTACTCTATAGACAAGACGACTGAGTCTCAGCAGATGACAGAGCTGAGGCTGCCCTGGAGACCCCACTGTGCTCTCTGCTGCCCTTTGCTTCCTGCTCCACTTGTGAGCTCTTTGATGGGTCAGGTTTTCAAACCACTGGGCTGCAGGGAGAAAACAAGCGTGAGAAGGTCCCGGCCCATTTTGTTACCCTTTGTGCTGAGGCTTTCTGCCTGTCAGCCCTGGTGCCTCCTGCCCAGAATGTTCATACTCTTGATGCTGGGCCTCACATTTCTTGACTGGTCAGCCCAGAAAAGCCCCATAGGCCTACTGAGCCCCAGCCCCTGCCCCATGAACCAATTTCGGTTGATTTTCTGCCAGGAAAGCAGAATGTGGTTGGAGGCTCTTTTGGTACAACCTAGATAAGAGATGGTGGGCACCTTCCCAGCCCAGCACTGGTTCCTATGCTAACAACAAGGGAGGAGGAAGGCCCCGGGGACCATTGAGCTGTCCCCGAGTGTGGAGGCCTGGCTCGTTGCTTAAACAAGAGAAAGTAGTAAAGTCACACTATATGTAGTCAGAAATTCACATGGTACAAAAGGCACCAGGTAGAAAGCAGGGCTTCCGCCCGCTCTGGCCCCTCCTCAGGCGGCCACTGCGGGCAGCTCCCCGGCTGCTTTCCTCAGGTCTGCTCTGAGAGCCTTTCTGGAGGGACATGTGAATCTTCACTTTTATACTACTGTTCCACTCCCAGGATTTTATTCAGCAATGAGATGAGTGCAGTTACACGGGGCTCCACAAACAAGGGGCGCATGCTAATTCTGTTTGTAAATGGGAGGAGGAAGGAAGGCCTTAGTACCCATCAGGCAGGGAGCAGTAGACACTGGGCTGCTCTGGGAATGGTGAGCAGCCTCCCAAAGACCCAGGCTCGTGGCTGTGTCACAGCCAGGAAAGCATCCCAGGCACGTTGAGCTTTCATCTTATGTGGATCCGGGGCTTTTTCTGTGGCCTCAGTTGAGCACTGGCCACACTCCATAGTTCCTGTCATACTGATCATGACCCTGGCAGAGGGCAGCCATCCAGAGCTGACAGCCTCCAGCAGGAGCACTGTTGCACCCCAGCAGGGCTGTTTGCCAGTCTTTGGCCCGGGGAACTTCAGAACGTGAGGATCCTTCAGGTGGATCGTGAAATAATAGCTGGTTTGCCCATGGCTCCCTGGGTACCGGTGTCTGTGCCAAGATGTCTCCTGCAAGCCTCACGGCAGCCTTGTGAGATTGGAAAGTGGATCATCCCCTTTTCACAGATGAGGAACTTGAGGTGCAGAGGTCCCAGCCCACGAGTCCTTTACCTGGAGCCACACAGTAAGAGGTGAATCCAGGACTTTAACCACCTTGGTCTGCTGTAACAGGCCAGGCCATTACCCCTGGGAACTTCTGTTTTACTGGGGAGAGAGACAATAGATGAGGAAGAGAGACAAAGAAATTAAATAACTACTGAGTCTGATGCTATGAAAGAAATCAATAGAAGGCTATGATAATAATTAGTAGGAGACCAGGGAAGGGCTCTCAGAGAAGAGATGCTGTTGAAATGGATGTTTTAGCTTGGGGAGCCAGCTACACTTATACTGGGACACTCCCGGAAGGGACCAGCAAGTACAAAGCATGCAGCGACTCCATCCTGATGGCTCATCCCGATCTTCTTGAGGCCTGTTTCAAGGGCCTGGGAGGTGGGCAGGTCCCAGAGTTGAGCTGGGGTGTCAGGTGGGGACTGTCCTGCAATTGGCCCAGAACTTTGGGGGGATCACCTCTGGGTTCATTTTTTTCCATGAAGTAGGACTGATGTGATGTCTGTGTGCTTGTTGCTCTTGACAGGTGATGGTTTGGAAGAGTAACTTTGATGTTGTGGACTATGGGGAAGTCATAAAAGTGCACAGGCCTCCAGCCCCACTGGCCACCTCCGGAAATCTGGTAAGCGGTTCATCAGGCGAGTCCTGAGTCCTGAACCTTTGGTGGGTCATGGTGAACAGCAAATAATACTTTGGCACTTGTGGTACTTTGTTTCAAATCTAGAATGTACAAACAAGATGTGAAGACTGCTGGGTGAGTAGGCCATGTGCTGTTTGGTGGGGGTAGTGTTTCCATGGCACACGTGGCTGTTGGTTGAGGAAAGGGAGGACCTGTCCCATGCTGAGCCTTGGGCCACAGGACCCAGTGGAGGGTTCCTAGAGGGTGTGGGGCCTGAGCCACAGCTGGGACGGATGGGAAAGGTCCAGCCCTGTTGCTCTCACTTCCTTTTTTTTTTAAAACCATGGAAAGGAAGTTCCTCAGCCACAAACCATTTTTAGTACCTTTGTCGGTAAAAGGGCATTTAGTGTTCCTGAATTAAAATAGTTAACAATATTTTTTGACATATTTTTTAGGGAAAATTTGATAACTGCTATGATTAAATAAAGTTACATTCAGCTTCAGCTGAAATAAGCTTTAAAGCCACGGATGTGGAGCTATGGGGGTTTTAAGCCCCAGTAGCCGCAGGCTGTTTAAATTTCTCCCTCCTAGACCCTAGAGGCAGTGTAGCCTCTCCCACCCACGGAAACTGGCCTGAACAACAGGAAGCGGCTTACCCAAGGCCCCATGCAAGTCAAGGCTGGCCCAGAATAGAACCAGGAAGCCTCTGAGTCCATCCTGGGCTTTCTTTGGCTCCAGCAGAGGGATCCCCCACCCAGCCTGAGACACAACACCCACCCACATGCACACGCGCACACACACCCATCCTGTGTGTTGGGGCTACCTCTAGGAACATGCCACATTGAGATTTAAAGCTTTTCTCCCAAGGGTTGCCTTTGCCGGAAGCTTTTGTTCTCCCTCCACGTTTGCTGATGAGTAGCTGATTCCCAGCTTTTGGGTTTGGTGAGGATGACTGGGTTGCATGGTGATCTGCTTGCTGCTGTTTGGTCTTCTGCCTAGAAAAGCATTTTTCAAACTGGAGGACTGGGATTCTGTGGGGTGTGTGCCATCTCCCCTCCAGCTCCCTGTGTCCTGGGCGTTTACAGTGAGCTGAGCCCAGGCTGGGTGGATAGAGTTACTACTCTCATTGTCAGATGAGATGCCTGGGGCTGAGTCACTTGCCTAGATGCCTGGACCTGGGGCCTCACCACGCTGGCCCCTCTGAGCAAGGGTGACTCAGCTCGAAACCACAGGCAGCAGAGGGCTACCTGGTAGCTCTCCCCCATCCCAGGAGAGGGCACTGTACCTGTCTCCTGGGAATGGTTAGCCCCAGCAAGGGGGGAAATCCCATACTCCTCTTGGGGTTATTAAGCAAGCGGCTTGGACAAGCTGTCTCATGTCCTTCAGTCCTGCTCAGATAAGGGATATGGAGCACCCTTGCATCCCAGAGCTTCGGGTCCTGATAATCTAGCACGAAGGCATTCAGGGTGGGGGAACCTAGCAGGACAGGGCAGGATTTGGCATGGGTGGGTGAATAGCTCCCCAGTGCTCAGGAAAGCCATTTGTTCCCATACTACCTTCAGGCCCATGGTGGAGCTGTAGTCACAGTTCCAATGGGCATCACCACATGGTACTCAAATAGGGGAAAGGATATGGGCTCTGGGGTCAGAGAACCAGGTCTGAGCCCTGGCTGTGTGCTCCCAGACAAAGCACCCACTCTTCCTACGCCTCTGTATCTATGATGGGACCTGAGTACTCCCCTCGGCAGGCTCCGAGGACCCCAAGTGTGAACTCTGCTAAGCCACCCAGTGATTTGGCTTATTAGTCCTAAAGTTGTTCTATGTTTGTGGCTTTTCCCTTATTTGTCACAAACCCCTTTGGGATGCTGAGGAGGTGTGTGGGCCCTCATCCAGATAATACTCCCGTGCCAAAGCATACACACGATGTGGAATACACTTTTAGGGGCATCCTGATCTCAGGACTCCCTGGCCAAGAGGAGAGCTAAGGGGTTTTTTTGTTTGTTTTGTTTTATACATGTGACATAAAATTTCCTTTTTTAACCATTTTATGTGTACAGTTGAATGACATTAAGTACATTCACACAGTTGTACAACCATCACTGCTGTCATCCACAGAGATTTTTCATCTCCCCATGCCCAGGAGAGCCAGTTGGTCCTGCACTGCTCTGTGGTTAGGTTTGCCCCTGTGATGGGAAGGGAAGCTGATGAGTGTAGTCTCACCTTTCCTGCCCAAGGGCTTCCCTGGCACTGAGTTGTGATGGATTCCGTGGCTGGCCAGAGTGTCTCAGCTCCTTAGCTGCTCTGCAGCCACTTGCCAGGAGCTGGTGAGAACCCTGCCCTTCCGGCTGTCCACATACTGTCCTTCTGATAACCCAGGAGTTCTCAGCCTTGGCACTGCTGATCCTTTGGGACAGATAAATCTTAGTTGTGGGGGCTGGGCTAGGCATTGCAGGATGTTTAGCAGTATCCCTGGCTTCTACCTGCTAGCTGCCAGTAGCATGTCCCCACCATTAGTTGTGACAACCAAAAATGTCTTCAGGCATTGCCAAATGTCTCCTGGGGGACACAGTGGCCCCCAGTTGAGAGTCACTACACTGCCTGCCTCAGGAATGAGCCCAGAAAGGAAGCTAATGTAGCAGGAGTATAGGAATGTGGGTGGGAACGGGGCTGTCTTTGTGGCAGGAGGAACATGGCCATGGACAGACACTGGGCTGCCCCAACTGTGATGACACTGGAGCTCATGCTCCTCAAATTGGACCAGATTTGGGCTCACCCCAGCAGCTGTGGCTCAGGTCGTTTTGGCCTATCAAACATTGGAATCTTACAGAGGTGATGGTAAATAATGAAAAATGACCTTTAGCAACTTGGTTTTCTTTACTTGTCCTTCCTGCCTATTGGCTTCCCTGGCTCTGAGATAGTAACTGGTGAGTGGTTTGGTGGCTGGCCAGGGTTTGGTGGCTGCTTGACTTGGTCCATGCCCCAGGAGCTCTTGCATCTTATGGCCCCCTCCCCATCTAGCTCTGTTTATACCCCAGACCTGGGGCCCTAAAGCTGCTTGAGACCCACCTGGGTGTTTAGGGGTCTTAGGGAGCCACCAAGCCAGGTTACTGTGTGCCTCACAGAGTATGGCGATCTAAAGCCAGAGGGCAGGCGCACTGACAGAGCATGGCAAGGGCGGCCCTATGAGCACATGACGGCCCCTCTGCCCTGGAAAGCCCCCTGCCCAGGACCCCTGCTTGGACTGCAGTATTCAGCTCTAACTCTTGGAATGAAGGCCATCCTTGAGCTCACTCTGAACAGAGCTCTGTTCACTGCCAGAGCTATTTTCAACCTCTGGTTGAAATTCACAGCTTATTTTTAGGCACATTTCATGTTGAAAAGCACAAGCCATTTCCCAGCCCTTCAGAATGAGAATAATGGGTTCCATTTTCCCTCTATTCCTGGCTGAGTTGTGGAGGAGAGAACTTAGGGCTGTGGCTGGGAGCTTTCCCTGCTTGGAAGGCTGCAGAGGAAGGACTCCAGCCTAATTGCCGGGCTGAGGGTGGCCAGGAAGTCCCACATTCTGCCCCGTGACACACTTAAAGGCTGGAGGAAGTTTGGGGCAGGGGGCTGCTTGCAGGCAGATGAGTGCCTACCAGAGGAGTGGGGGGGGGGGCAGGGAGTAGCGGGCGGGGGAGTATCCCCGTGAGCCATCTGCAGCAGGTGCTTGTGCTGCTGTGTTCAAGGGTCTAATGCTTACCTTTGTCCCATGCTGTTGCCCAGGCCTCTGTACTCAGCCACTCAGGTTCTAGCTCCTGCCTGCCTTTAGTGCTTTGGGGCCTGCCCATGAAGCATCAGGGCCGCTGTGTCTTGGCTGACCTTGGATTGGGCCCCTGTTCCCCAAGCCCAGCTCCTGTAGGACTAATTTCTACTGTAGCCGCAGAAGCCTTTTTCAAATCACTTTAATAACAGAGGTACATTTGTTGCGATTTACTCTTGTTCTCGCCTTTCCTCCAAACACCCGAGAGCCCATCATGAAATGGCGAAGGAAGATTGTAGGGGGCAGGGTGGGAGGGGAAGAATACAGGATTCCAGGTAATTCAGGAAAACTGAAAACCACTTCCTGAGTTCTCAGGGATGGCTGCCCTCCAGCTCAGACAGTGACCTTCAGTTCTGGGGCCCCTCAAACTCAAATGGGGAGATGCCAGGCCCTCCTTCATGAGATTTCATGAGGTGGTACATGCCAAGCAGGCACTTGGAACCGTGCCTGGCACATGGCAAGTGCTCACCAAGCTTTAGCTATTTTTAAAATGTTCCTCTTCCTTCCTCTGTCAGACTGAAAGCAGGATGAACCCCCTTCCCCGGGCGGGATGATTGTGTGTTTAAAACCTGCTGGGATGGGGGGAACAAGGCAGTGATGGGGGTGATTCTGACCAAGATAATTTTCCATGTTGACTCCTCTCTGCAGGTCTTTGTGAGATCCAGTGAGGGTTTTAGACCCTTGCAGGAATCAGTTATGCTTCCTGATGAGAGACCCAAGTCCTCTGTGTTCCTAAATGCAAAAGCAAATCCATGAGGTAGATAGAAACAGGCTTCTTTTCCTCTGCCACCCCCATGGCTCCTTAAAGCAAAGTGGTTGGGACCCCCAGAGCCTCAGTGCTAGAGCTATCCGTGGGAGGAGGCTAGCTTAGCCAAGAATATCTGACCTGAGAGCTCAGCCTTCCCTGAGAATGGCCTCTTCTTCCTAGCTCCTCTGGTTCTAAGGATGAAGCCCTAGCCACCTCCTATACTCGTGCTTCCACTCCCACATTTCTGTTTTTGGGAGCCACATAGGGGTGCGCTTGACTTAGAGGTTCTTGGGCTCTGATTCCAGTCTTGGCACTGGCTCTTACCCCGTTTTGAGGATCTGAGACTCCCAGGTTCTCATGCCAGGCACCTCACCTGAAGAGTCAGAGAGTTGAGGAAGGGGATGGGGTCCATTTCCACCTGCCATATGGATTTCCCTGTTTGGGAACATAGATGACT